TTCTGTTTCTGGTGAATCCTCTCATCACCACCCCCACACCTCTGGCCTGCACCTCAGTTCTTGCATGCATAAATAAACAGATCTTTAAGAAAGAGAGAGATGGCATGAGGAACAGACATGCTCCATGGTGAGGACAAAGAGGAACTTAGCCTGCTTTAGCCCAGATGTCAGCACCAAGAGAGCCAAAGTGGGAACAGGGGAGGCTAGGTGTAATGCTTAGCAGACCAGTGAGCACACAGTCTTGTTAAAACATAGGTGCTCACTGGTAGGCCTAGGAGGGGCCTGACATTCTGCATTTCTTTTTTTTTTTTAATATTTATTAATTTATACATACAGAGCTCGGGGACAGGCCAGAGGTGCAGGGACGCTGAAAAGATTCACCAGAGACAGAGTCGGGAGCAGAAAAGGCAGATGGACAGGGTACACTGCTGAGGGGAGCAGTGGGCAAGTCAGAAGTCTGTGGCCCAACAAGTTAGGGTACAGCACTGCAAGCTAGCTGCAGCCACTTCAGTGCAGGGCACATCAGTACAAGTTTGATCCCCAGCCTGCCCGGAGCTAACATTCTGCATTTCCACCAATCCTCCAGGGACAACCATTGTGTTGGTCAGTCCTCACCTTAGCAGCAAAGTGCCTGGAATTAATATAAGGGAGCTCTGGTGCCCCTGCCCACCTCCCAACTGTAGCCTAGTGGAGAACTAGGGTATGGTTTTTCCTAGGGGAAAAACAAAATGCAGCTGAATGAAGGTGGAGGCTAATACTCAGGGGGATAGGATATCCCAAGAATGCTGCCACTTCTCTGACCTGATAGGATTTCACCAATTCTTGTGTCAAGGAACAAGGTCAGAAATTTTCAAACTGGGTGTTCAACAAGCATCCAATTTGATTCAGCTGATAAATGCCTGCCAGGTCGGGCACTGGGAATACAAACAACTCCCAGTGTAAAACCAAGAGTTCCTTACTTCCCCTCTTCCTGTAACCACAAAGTGATCCAGAAGGTCTAGCCAGAGTTGATTCCTTTTTCTTTAATCTCTGAGTCAAAAACAGATCCAGGTGCCAAGTTCATGGCATCTTTTTAGTAACGCAGGATGTATGGCAAAAGAAACCAGGTCGCTATGAGTAAAAATGTCCTCAAAATAAGGTACCTAAGATTTGAGGACTGTGACAGGATAAAGCCACAGCCTAGACTAAAGGTTCAGCTGGGACATGCTTAGAAAAACAACAAAGTAATCCAAGCTACAGGTTAGTTTTTGGAAACTGTAACATACGTGGTACAGGCATGTAAAGACACCTTGTAGTACAAATTTAAAAAAACAAATTCTTGGCCCTACCTGGTGGCACCAGAGGTTAAAGCGCAGCACTATGACGCTAGCTGCAGCCACTGCAGCACGAGTTCGATCTCCAGCCAAGGAGGTGACCCACATGGTACAGCAGGCCTCTCCTGTCTTGCCTGCTGCTCCCCTCAGCGGTGTATTCAGTAGATCCTCCTGTTCTGTTCCCCACTCTGTCTCTAGTGAATCCTCTCACCACCACCCTACCCCACCACCTGCACCTCTGACCTGGATCCCAGTTCTTGTATGCATAAATAAATAAGTCTTTAAGAAAATTATTAATTTAAAATAAATTTTAAATGGCTGAAAGTTATGAACTATATCACATTACTCCCCAGTACTTTTAATTAAACAAATCAAAGTGAAAGATTATTGAAGAGTTCCTTACTTCCCCTCTTCCTGTAATCACAAAATGACCCAGAAGGTCTAGCCCAATTTTTGAGTCAAAAACAGATCCAGGTGCCAAGTTCATGGCATCTTTTCAGTAACGCATGATATATGGCAAAAGAAACCTTGTTTTTACCTAAGAATGTGTGTGCCCAGGTCCTGTGTGAGCATCTTTCAGCTGGGAAACCACTCAGATTCCCAGAGAATCTCTGCAGCCTAGCTAGTTCCCTTGAAGCTGGCACCCAATAAGGAATATGGCAACAGAGCAAGCAGCAAGTATCTGTTTCTCCATTGGCTCTCTAGAGAAAGGATGCACTCAAAGGGGCCCCAATGAGCCCCATGAGAAAGACATCTGTCCCTACAGAGAGCTACCTGGATAGTCCATGCTCTCCTTTGGGTCACAGGTGTGACCCAAATTGAGAGCACTGATACTAAGTACGGGGAGGCACATGGGACAGGGTGAGCTCTAACAGGGATACTTTCTTATTGGTACCAGTTGGATTTTTTTTTTCAAAGATTTATTTATTTATGCACACAGAACTGGGGTGCAGGCAAGAGGTGCAGGGGCAGTGAGGGTATTCACCAGAGACATGGGGAGCAGAACAGGCCGACTGACGAAGTATACTGCTGAGGGGAGCAGCGGGCGGGTTAGGAGAGGTCTGCTGCGCCATGTGGGTCACCTCAGGGCGGGGATCGAACTCATGCTGAAGTTGCTTTAGCTTCCTAGTGCTGTGCTTTAACCCACTGTGCCACCAGGGTGGGCCCTCAGTTGGATTTTTTATACAAAAAGTATACTTGTATACAAAAAGTAACTCAAATATTACTTGCATAATTAAAAATAAACTCTAGATGGGAAACCCGCAGGGATTACAATTCAGATGAAAAAAAAATGTACAAAATGATGTAAAAATAAACTGTTATATAATTAAAAAAAATAAACTCTAGATGTTGTGGAATAAATACATTTTTTAAAAGGATAAGCATAAAACAATTCCAAATCTTCCTTTACATTTATCCTATATGCTTCAAACAAGATTATGTTTGCCAGGGAGAGTACATTGAGCTTTCTAACCCACTTGGATCTTGACCAATATTATAAACCACATCTTGGGGCACCATCTCTGGCCAGTTTGGTTCATCTTATTCCAGTCTCTCCCTATCTACTCCTGCACCCACCCCTCACTCTCTGCTACCAAAGAGGACTCTTAGAAATACATCCTGCATCTCATCAATGCCCTCCCTTGCCCAAAGAGAAAATCTACACATCTTGGCAAGACATGGTCAGCCCTGTGTGTTCATCAATTTCTGTTTCCCACAACAGTCACATTAAAACACATACTTGTCGTTTTCAGCTAGCTCCTGGCATTCTGCCCATTCTGCTGCTCCTCTTGGAATACCCCTTTCTTCTTCTCTGCTCCTTGAGATTTGGTAAGTCTCCAGTAACTCAGCCTGGCACCACTGCCCATGATTAGAGCTCCCATTGCCAGGGAGGGCCCTGCTCTGGACTTCTCTGTTGTATAGAGGGCTGACCCCAAAGTACAGCCGAGCTAACCTCTCTCCTTGGATCTTTAATTTTGTATCCTCAGTACCTGGCCCACAGCAGTAACTCCATAAATCTTGCCACAAAAACTGACAGGTTTCACCCTCAAGGTTCTGATATCACAAACTCACAAAATTAAGCACCTGAATTTGCAAAACAAAGCATGGGGGAAATCTATTCAGTTTTCCCCTTTCTCTGACTTTCCACTTCCTGTACCCTGAAATGCCTGGACACAGTAGTCAAGACCTAAGCTCCCCTCAATCAGAATGCAAAGAACCATGTGGGGAGAGGGGAGGGTCAAGGGGCTGGACCTTTGTCCCTCAGCTTCCTGAGAGTAATAGCAAAGTCAGAACCTATCAGTGACCACCTCATCAGAGATAATTCTAAACATGTTGATTCTAAAGGTTTCCTTTAATCTGTTAATGTGGCTCCTAACATTAATGACTTTCTAAGGTTGAATTCATTTTGCATTCCTGGGATAAACTCATCCTGTGAATGAGGAATTACTTTTTTTATATGCTGCTAATTTCAGATCCTAATATTTTATAGAGGATTTTGACATTTGTATTCAAGGGTGATATAGGCCTGTAATTTTTTTTTTTTTTGTAACATCTTTATCAGATTGAGTATTAGGGCTATACTAACCACTTTCTCAATACTCTGGAATAGTTTGTGTAAAGCTGGGATTATTTCTTCAGTAATTGGTAGTGTAACAGGTACAGGTTTCATGGACTCGCCCCTACTCCAGATGCTGGAACTCCAAATCCCATAAGTATCAAGAAGCAGCACGCAGGGACGTGAGGGCGGAGCTGAGCAGCCAGGTTGGGATAAAACCCGACATGTGGGCTCTGGGGGGCGACCTGGTGGTTCGCAGCTGATCATTTTGGCGCTCAATCGGTTTTCAGCATGCCGGTGGAGTCCAAGTCAGCAGAACTGGTAGGCCATCCTAGTTAACCTGTGTTTCTCTCCCTCTTTCCCTGGGTTATTCTTTTACCTTTCTCCTTATAAATAAATCCATTATTTAACCTTTTGAGTGTGTCCATAATACGATTGAATCGTAAGCGCACGGGTGAAGACCTACAGACAGGCAACCCAATTCACATTGGGGTACCCTGTAACAGTAGAACTTGGCAATGAAGATGGCCGGGCACAGAGCTTCTTTTAGGAATAATATTTGATTACTAATTCGATTTATCCAATAATTGTCGGCTATTTTGGTATCAGTAAATTATAGTTTTCTAGGTAATCCAAATATTTGGATTACAAAGATAACTAGTATCCAGAATGCTGACCCCTGGATGAACTGTGCCAGAAACTAAGTGCCTTATGAATCATCAGTGACAGCTCATATATGTACTGTACACAAAATCTATAAAAGCAGTGTTCATATAGAACTTGAAGATGAAGGTCCAGGTGATTTGGTGACTTTTGGTCTTTAATTATTTGCAAAGGGACCAATCACTTCCTATTTAGCAGAATCAGTTAATGCAAATCAATAGCTAACACTGGTCACCCTAAAAGAAAATTTTTTGGAGGCTCTCAACTATTGCTCAATTTCCTCATGGGAATCACTTGCCTTTAACAAGAGAAAACAGTCTTGTAAGCTATTAGGATGAGGGAAGTGTTCTGTGGAAACCTTCTGAAGGCCAGGCTGAAAGTCTGGGGGCTGGCACATTACAAATGAGTTCCATAGGCCACGTGGCCTGGGCCAGGGCGGGCAGGGGGCGGTATTGGAGCACACTCACCAGGGCCTCAAAGTCCTTGCAGTCGTGGTGGACATAGGACGCGGGAAGGGGCCGCAGCACAGAGTCGCGCTTGTAGCTCTGCAGGGCCGAGGCGAAGAGGCTGCAGCGGAGGTCGACGGCCAGCATGTCGCGGCCCACCACATCCCTGATGGCCGCCCTCGCAGCCGGCTGCATTCCAGGTCGCGGCACGTTTGCCGGGGAAGACTCACCAGTTGGGAGCGAGGGAAGGGCGCAGCCAGCGGTCAGCCTGGGGCTGGCCCCAGGGACAATGGGTCAGAGGGGACGGAGTTCCCAGGTCTGGGGTGGAGCTAGGCAGTGGGGATGTGATGACAGCGGTGCAACGGGCCTACTGTGGGGTTCTGGGCCCAGACACTAGCTGCAGGGGGGGTAGGGGGGCTGCATCCGACGGTCTAGAAAGGGGATCCCTCTCCAGAGCACAGGTCAGTACAGGTGGGGTGGACT